AAAAAAAAAAAAAAAAAAAGAATACAAGTAAAGTGTGGCCATGATTCTCCACTGAATTCATTGGTGCAATATTATACTCAGATGCTAATTACACATGCTGATTAAACTTAAGTTTTAAATCAATATTCCACCTAGACCTGGAATGTGTGAGTGTATGTCTTGTCACTTACATAATAAAGAAGTGCTTTTTTTTCATAAAAAAAAAAAAGAAAAAGATAAAAAAAGAAAGATGGTGACTATGCTAAGGAGAATTAAGAGTGTTTTTTTTTTCAATGGTCAAGATATTGAGGTTAATTTACACGTATTTTAATTAATTTTTTCTCCGATCTAGTTAAAAACACACCATTTATGTCAAAATTATGATATTCATAACGGATAAATTCCCGAGAGCTTAACTCTAAAAGGTTGTCAACATTTAAATTCAAAACATTTAAATACAATTCGTTCTTATTACCATTTGAACTATATTGGGGGTTAGAGTGCCTTTGAAATTGAAGGTATTGCAATGGTTAGTTACATTGTAACAAAGGAAGGACTAACAAGGAAATTAGGATTTGGATAGGCCAGTTTATAAGGTAGAAAGTATGCAACAGAGACTTAAGGAGTCATTACTATAATAATCCTTATTCAAGGGGATCCAAGTGAATTATTTCGGTAGTTTCTTCAACCCCTTTCACGCTTAGGCAAACTTTCTAATTCCTCTAAGCGCTTTCCTTGGAGTTCAAATATTTTCAAAAACTCACGGAGAATGCCACAATAAACAAACATGAATAAGTTCACGTAATGAAGCATAGAAATTCTAGATCAAGAATCGTAATATTATATTGACAAGCTTTTAAAATGGTTGTTTGTTGTGATATGAGATACAATAGCAAAATAGATAGTTTGTTTTTGACCGAATCGAAAAGAAGATTAGTCAAGATATGCGTAAGTTGGTCTGGATACTCCTAACCGCTGAACTTCAAAAAAAAAAAATACAAGATAATACAAGATTAAAAGTTCGTTAATGCTTACAATTCCATTCATCAACCTACAATGGTTTCACCAGCCAACTTGGGTAAATTTTCAGGCTTCTTTCCAGAGAAAAGGCTTCTATCAAGCTCTTTCTAAACAATTCTAACATTTCTTCCACGAAACATCTACTAAGAACAACTTAATGCCAACTCCCATAGCATCTACCTGAAACTCCTCTTTCAACATTTGATTCTAACCATGGCCTTGAAGAATTGGCATAAGGGGCAAATCTCAAGCTATTAATTTGGCATTTGATCACATTACTGCACTTGTTTTCCTCGGTGCTTTATACATAACAATCAGGGGGTATAAGAGAAAATGGTGAACTCCTCGATCCATGTGGAATGCTATGATTCGAAGGTAAACAAGCATCATTCTCGCTTGCCCTCCTCGAGATCTTCTCCCAGCCCAAACACATGATCTGTTGCAATTGAATTGGCGCCATCCTTTCCTTTCTTTCCAGCTTGGTTTCTAATTCTGTAGCTACTTTTACTCCATTGCCAGAAAGTGAAATACCCTCCTCATCAAGGTCATCGCCTGACTCCTCTAAGTATGCATACCTGTGCAATCCCAAATACATTGCCTATCAAGTACGAAAAATGATAATGACCAGGATAATGATTCTGTTCACTTAGATGAAGAAAATCATCGACTCTAAGCTTGAGATTACAATTCTTTCAAAGTAATTAAATATGTACAAGAAAAAAAAATGTTCAACTTAAGCAAGCAATCTGGTCAATGCTGGAAAACTTTTCCCTTCACCAAATTTTTCGCTTAAGCTTTGAGTACTTCGCAAAAACAAGTGAATTAGCAACTCCTAAAATATAGAGCAGCACTAGTGATGATATCATACTTTACCCACCCACCATGAGGCTAGCTATGTCAAACATTGTCAAAACTCAAAAGCCAATCCAGGGTATCACCAATTATAATACAGATTATACTAGTTGAAAATGGAACTTCCTGCCCTCACCTGGAAGTATTGCCTATTGCCAATGACATTGAAATCCTAAATCCTAAATTTGCCATTAATATATCTCATCAGGGACCAAGGGAGTGCATGACTATCATCCTCAGTTGCACAGGGTGAAATGCCAAGAATCAAATACCACCATGGGGGTGTCCCATATACAGACAAGGGAAATATTGTGCACAAGGGATTCCTATCCAGTGCTGTGTTTCTCAAAAAACTCCTCCAGGACTACCTGCTCTTATTCACCTGATTCTTGCTGGATGGCATTGCCTATCCGGCATCTGCTTTGCTTATGCCATGTAACCCAAACAAAGAGTAGAAAGAGGAGGATCTCCTGTGGCTTGTCATTTAGAACCCCAAAGTGCTATCCTGGCCCCTGAGTTCTAGATACACTGACATTTGCACTTTAACCCCTAATTTTGAGTGTCACCATGTAATTAAGAAAACAAAGACAGAGAGATACAGGAGACAAAGAGAGAAGGAAGGCAAACATATATGCCTGATAGTATTGCTATAATTCAAGAATATGATCGGATTAGACCGACTATTAGTCACATTTTCTATGCTGTCAATTTTGAATGCATATTCACAATCTGTCATTTATGTTTAAGTTCATGTGAGCATCATCAGATGCCAGCTTGCAACATAGACACGAGTATTACTTATCAAAGGAAAAGGTAAAATTACAAAAACCAAGTTTAATAGTGAATAAGTAAAGGATGATTTCAATCTCCCAGTAATTATTATCAAATCAAATGCCATCTGAAAAATTGTGACAATTAGAAGGCAGCAAAGAAAAGAAAAGGATCAGAGTTTCAAAAAGTACCTAGTTGCATTATTTGAAGGAGCCCAGAGAATGCATATCACCACCAAAAGTATGTATGCTAGCATAGTCCAGAAGGCCGGAATGATCCAGGCTCTTTGCCACAATTCACTCAATGGGTCGCTTGCATTAAAGTACAACTGAACCAATACAACAATCATAGGAGTTTTCTTGCAAGTATCCAATTAGAATAAGTGTACAACAAAGAAAAAGAACAAAATAGTAACTTGCATCATCTACTAAGCACGTTACTGTTCTCTCCGTATGATTTGCAAGTCTAAAACTTCAGAAAAAAAGAAGGCTTGGCAAGTGTACAAAAGGTAATCGGTTAGAAGTATTGCTATCATGATGTGGTAGGTTGATCAAAGGAAGTAGAGTTGTCAATAGAAAGAAACAGAAAAATTACCTCATAGCCAATCCAAGCAACAGAAAACAGCACTGATACTGCTAGGGAATTTGTAAACTTTCGGTAGAGCGCAAGTTTGGCCATGCTTCTCCGAATCTGTATGCAAAGTAGACAAAGAAGCAGCCAATAACTTCAAATTTGCATGAAGAACAGCTGAAATACAAATTTTACGGAAACGGAATTTCGATCTTTGCCAAGAGACAGGAACAGTGTTAATTTGTAAGCTTTGATAGCACAGAAGAATCATGATATAAATAGTATCATTACCAGAAGCTTCTCCAAGGTGTCAGATAATGATGAAAACATCCAAAGAATAAAGCACGCATCCAAAACAGAAACTGGTAGCACCAGAAAAACCCTGGCATTTCCAGAAAAGTCATTGATATTCCCCAAATGTTCAACAAGCTCAAGAGCTTCTGATGCCACAAAGTACGTCACACCAAAAAAAAGAACTTTTGAGGTTATAGCTCCTACGGTGGGTCGCATAACACCATAACCCATTGAAACCACTAAAAGAAGAAGACGAGAAACAGTCTTCTTGAAAGCACTGAAGGTAACTGCCCAAAGTGTAATTCCCATTGGTCTGCTTCCTGTGGCATTCAAATTTGCATACTCGAAAAACCAGAGAGTCATTTCACACATTCCCAGACCGATAACAGCTGAGATGTGGTAGTGCAATTGTATTGTATCTTTACAATATTGCACAAACCAAAGAAACCACAGAAGACCAAGAACAAGGTACACGAGAGACATGAAGCCATAAAATGTCATCAGTGGTGTCATCTTCCCTGGTAGATAACCTTCTGGATTCCTCCAAACAGTTCTTCCACTTATTAACGTGCCCTTGAGTTGAGGATCACAAAACATAAAATACAGATAGTACATTCCAGTCTTATTGATCTCAACAGCTTGAAGCACCATCTTGGCATCTTCATTTTTTCCTTCGAAGGAAGTCTGAATCCGTTTTGGCCAGCCAGGGTTATCAGGGTCTTGGCGGATAATAACCTCTCCTACCTTGCAGGATCCATCATTGGCAAGAGCTGGGGTACAGCATATTGCATTGGAATTTTGATAAGCACCACCAATCTTATCCCTTTCTTTGACCTCAACTATTATAGCTTCAACTAATCCAGTACTCCGCTGCATCTCATTCTGCTTACTGGCAACCTCCTTTGTTCTTCGAAAAGTAATAGACTCAAACCTGAAACCACATGACATGGATAAATGAATCTGTGTACAACAGATATGGGGTGTCACAACTCAAAACGTTTTGGCCACAAGATTGCAACCCATCAATGGAAAGCATGATGTTAAGAGGTTCAATAGTTTATGGATCACATCTAGGCAGATAGAAATAGAGCAAGGAGCAATGACACAATGTGCAAAGAGCAAGTGAATTAGCTGACATGTCTAATGTCCCTGCCTTGACAACAAACTGATGATTTTATGCTTCACAATTCGTTGCCTTGGCTCAATTCCGTAGTCTTATTCCGTGTAAACTCATGTAACAATCTTGACAGTTTAGTTGACCACCACAATTTTTTTTGGGTTAATCTCATTTTACACCCCGAAAGATAGTTCAAATCTCAATTTACACCCTCAAAGAACAAAAATCTCAATTTGCACCCTCAAAGATAGAAATTTGTATCAATGTGCACCCCCAAAGATCAAAAATCTCAATTTGCACCATCAAAGATAGAAATTT